TAAAATATTACCAGTAAAATCATTACTGGTAATGGTAATGATTTTACCATTACCAGTCAATGGTAAAATCATTTATGCCACGGCAGCAGTATAACTCTTGTTGTATTTGCTGGGCAGCTTTTTGCATATTTCCACAGGTATTTTGAAGATTGATCTCTGATGTTTAGCTCCAGGTCTTTGAGGTTGGAAGACCTACTTGCCATCACCCTAATCTTTAACTCCCTCCACAGACTCTCTGTCACATCCAAGACAGGACTCCAACACATAGAAAAAAATTACATTGTGTCAGAAAAGAGATATTGGTAAAAATAAAACTAAATCTCCCTGGATTATTCTTTTCTCTTGTATCAAAGGAGGAAGTGTGTATCATTGCAGTAAAGAAATGTTTAAATAAAATATTTAAACCTTAAATTTGAGACATAACACAGACAAGGAAACACTTGTCCTTCTTATAAATAATCAGCGGGCTTTTAGCTCTAAGTAGATGAAAAACTAAATAAATGAACTGTTTGTCATCAAAAGAGCTTCTTTTAGTTGTTATAACAGAAGCATACCCCGGTTTGTGTCAGATGTTTGTTCCATCGTAGCAGATTTATGAGCTCCTCAGGGTAATTCTCTCCTAAATGAGCTCTCAATCATCAGCATGAGAGACAACTTCCCTCTGAGACCGGCAAAATATTATTACCTGCTGCAAATCTTTAATTTGATGCCACGTCAAAATGTTTCCAGACGACCCCTTCATTTTAATCCTATTCACTGTATTAAAGACTTTATTGCTTTTTATTCAAAGCTCAGTTCAGCTTGTTCCCTCCTGAAGAGACATTTATGTTCATTGTGCCACATGTGAAACTGGAGAGTATTTACCTGAATTATGAATCTAAAAAATTCCCTTTACAGCATTTTATATTAAGTGTTAGCGTATAAATCTCATGTTTTTTTTTTTTTTTTTTTTTTCGAAAACACGGGAATACCGATATATTTTCTGCAGCTGCAAAACGCAGAAAACATGTTCACCGACGCTGAAAGCTTATCCCCACATACAGGAGCTCTTGCCACATTTTCAAAAAGCCACATTATTGAGTGCTTTTTTAACATGGTCGCAGTTTCCAAGCAGCTTGGCTCCGCTTCCAAATCCGGGCTTTTGCCAGCAGTTGGGAGTGGAAGAAGGAAAGAAGAAGAAGAAAAAAAAAGACATCTCAAGTTAAATTTAAAGATGTGTTTCTTTTGGATGCCGGGCTGCACTGCCATAAACCAAGGGAGACATTTTCATGCTCCACATTTTTCATGGTTTCTCTCCGAGTTTCCTCCCTTCCTTTCTCACTCCACCTTGGCTCCAGAGTTACCTACTGCTGCACTGGCTGCAAACCACAGCCAGCAGGGCACAGTGGGGTGGCCAGTTCTCCCACTCTTCTCCTCCTCCTTCCAGTCTCCACTTAAATATTCTCCCGCTGTCCTTGGATGGCTCTCATAGTGGAGAATCCCTCAGAGATTCCCCCACCTGGACAGCGCTTCTTAATCTCTTCTTTCACCACCATTCTCAAATAATACCCTGCCTACCCGCCCCGAGCCAATGGCCAGCAGTAATCAGTTAGAAGCTTCAAGTCCTCTGACCTACCGCCATGTTTTTATTGTACCCGTGAAGGAATTTTATTGCAGGCTGCCGTCTCAAGCCAACCTTATGCGGTGCATGCTGTAATTTGTAAAGGGGTGCAGAGGTTTGGTATTAATTAGGGATGTAAAATGGCAGCGGTTCAACCGCCTGCACGTTTCCATGGAGGCCAAATTCACTGAGTGATGTACACACTGGGAGGGGAGATTATGGCTGAGCCCTGGCGTTCCAGCCGAGAAGCAAACACAAAGGAGAGGACGTAAAAAGCGCTTTCATTTCACACGACCTGTCATCAGCAGCAAATTTTCACTCTGCTGCTTGAAACTGCCTGCGGCTTTAAAACTAACCATACGGTCGGTTCGAGCATCAATCAGAGCTAATGGGTGCAAATGAGAGATTTGCCTGGATTTTAAAGCTTAATGTAGACTTTCAAGAGTGTGAAGTTATTATATTCTCCACTGATGAGGGTATTATGTTTTAAAGTCATGATTTATAGTTTAGGTACAAATTAAAAGATTCCTGTAAAATCAGCTAAGGCTGAAGAAAACAGATGGTAAACATTTATTTTAATGATTTTGTTTCTTTTACAAACTCAATGATTGCTTTAGGATTCTGGAAATGACCAAGTGGAGGTATATAGATTGAGTTTAGGCTTTGGGATCTAACTTTGGCTTCCATGAGCCTGAATAATTTTCTACATATTCTGGATATTTGGCCATGCAGTAGATTGGTCTGAAGAGTAGTTTAGGTGAGAATATAGACAATAACCCAGAAGAATAAATTTCTACATAATTTTCTAACTCTTTCTTCAGAAGAAAGCTTAACAAAATAAATCCTAAGCTAATAATAGAAGTGGGAACAAATAATGAACAAATGTCACAGTAAATGTCACAATGAGGTTTCATTTGTGCTAAAATCCAACCAATAAAGTCTTTCTTTGGAAAGATCAAACCAAAATAACTATTAGGAACCTCCCACTGGTATTTGATGATGTCACATAGTCACGTTTCCTAATCCCTGTTCTCCTTGCTTTATAAAGAGAAGAATAAAAAAGTAGCTACAAATCCCCAAAGTAGGTTTGAAACGCCACATGGTTGATAAGAACAATTTCCTGGTAAATGACTTCTGGCACAAACAAAAGCAAAAGAACAAGACCCAAATAGAAGATATAATCAAATCACTAATGATTACTAGAAGGTGCCATTTTTATAGCAAATTTCAAGTTTTCTTTTTATTTTACTTTGATCAAAAGCCTTGACTAGCAGTCCACTTAATCTACATCCAGGCCAAAACACAAAACTCTTGATGTTTTCCTGACTGAAAAAGAAAATAGGTAATTGTACAATAAATATGATAAAAATGAGTCATAATGCTGATATAAACTACAATAGACGCTGTTTAGGGTTTATTAGGAACTCATGAAGTAAGACGCCGCAGCATGAATTCACAGATGATTCAGAGTTTCTCATAACCTAATAATTCCCTCACATGTTTTTTATGAAGTCACCTGAATTTACTCAGCCTTTGTTACATCTAACAAAAGCGTCATATATTTGCAAATAGAGTAAAAGTTTCACATATCACAAACTGGCCCAGTGACCTCTATGCTGACCTAGTATTTTCAACATTTACATGTTCTGCTCAAATCAAACATAGTTCTTTAAATTGTTGAAGGTTTTTTTTAATGCTTTCATAACAGTGTTGTCAGATTTATTTTATCAGTCAATACTGGCCAACATGACATTAAGGAACTTATTTTCAAACAGTTGTTTTCCATAAAGTCATTGACATGTTTAAGGTCATGCCACAACATCACTAACAGGATTCAAATCTGGACTTTGACTAGGCCATAACCCAAATGTCAGTCAATCTCAATCTGGTAGAGAGCAGAATTTATAATAGCGAGTCATACAGATCCTACAGGAACAAAGCAGATCCAGACCATCTTTGATTATTGGTCTAATGTTCATTTTCTGAAACTTTTCTTTTAGTGTTCCCGTAATGGACTTTGAATAATTCTCCATGTTGATCCAATAAGACCAGCATTCATTGAGGTGAGCCCAACAATGTTTAAATGTTGTTCTGGATTTTTTTGTGACCTTCTGTTCAAGTTGTTAATGTCTTTATGAAATAATTGTGGTTGCTCAAAAACTCCAAGGAAGCTTTGGTATTAGCTTTCTTTTCCTTCTCACTCTCATCCAAATGAATGGATACGCTGGTACCCATTTACCTTCTGGTACTTATTACTGATCGCCATGTTTGTCCAGTGGGAATGACATGGTTGCTATTGACGGGGAGTTTGTTGTAATTTTCTGCTCTATGGATGCAATTCACAAACAGAAATAATTATGTGGAAAGCCCAGTTTTTCCTTTGTTACTTTTTAAAGTACAACACAAACCGACTTCGTTACAGTCAGTCACAGGCTGATGCATGATGCAACTCTGGTCACCTGCAAGGCTTCTCTATAGATAAAAGTTGAGTTTGCTGAGTATAGTCTGAGGTTTCCTCATTTCCCCTTTTTCGGGGCTTATCGTAGCTCGCAGATGCCGTTTTATAGAGAACAGCCAGAATGAAACCCCTCTCAGAGAACAACAAGATAACCAGCATGTCCACTAATGCCGAAGAACTGACCACCATGTTTTTTGGCTTGTTTTTCAGTACAGTCTCATGTTCATCTTTATGACCAAACCTGATGTTATCTATTTCTGAGAAACCTCTATCTAACATGTATTATAACCAAAATTACATATCACAGAAAGTTAAAGGAACAATGTCAGAAAGTATCTTATATCAGTTGTATATACCAGTAATGACCACTCAAGTTAACCAATCATAGTCAGGAATGTCTCTCACCTTGTTAATCATGCCCTCTTATCTATTTCCCTTTATTATTTATCTGCTTTAGCATTAGACCTCATCACTGCACCAAGTCTATGTGTGAGTGTGAGCCTTTTTTCGGCGTTAATGCGCTTGAGAACACCCTGCTGATTGATTATCAAGAAATTCTTCTTCCCAACTCTGCTCATTAAGGGGAGGAGAGAGCAAGAGTGGGAAAATAAATAAAGCGTCACTTGGGCTTGTCTTGCTCTTGTTCCAAAATAAATAGATCTGTGTGGCAGAGAGAACCGCTGTAGCTTCCAGGACTTAAAGAAAGAAGTACCTGACTGTCACCACACCAGCCAGCAATGGGACACACAAGTGAGAGTGAGCAGGTGATTTTTAAAAATCGCTGCTTGGTTTCACATCCTTAAGTCCCACTTCCTTTTCACAGATTTAGAAGACAGATTCAGACTCGGGTGAGAGCTCATAATTACTGTCCTTTATTTAAGGCTGTGGCCCTTGTCAGACAACCTCAATGCACTACAGAGAATAAAATATCTGTTGTTTTTAAAAGGGTCGAGTAGTCCAACTTCCATGCGCCCTATGCAGCACACTGTGACTCTCTGTTTCTGCTATGTGTAAAGTTTGCACATGTTTAAGTGCATGAACAACAGTGTGAATGCAAGCCCTGTAACCCATATGTGCAAGGGGTGAAAGTTCAGCTCCTTCAGGGTTTGTTTTGGAATATATGACACTGCACAGCTGGCCCACTCATCTGTGCATATCTGACTATAAAATTTTACCGAGCGTCCGCACAGCCAGCTGCCTTTATCAGCGAGAGATGGAGTTATTCTCTCTCCGGATGGATGGAGGCCTCAGTCCTAGATCTGCTGCTCCCTCTCTCTGTCTCCCAGTGGCCCTCATCAGGAACTGCTCTGCACAATCTGCTGCAAATGTAAAAAACAGTTTTCCTGGTATGGGAGCAGATGTAGAGCTGAATGCATTCAAACCAGAAAAAAAAAAAACCAGCAACAGATAAATCATTTTTACAAAATTGCATGCAATTCAAGCAAGTTGCTGTAGAAGTTGTTCATTTTGCAGCACAGACCAGAAACAAAACTGTGTCATTTGGGAATATTTTCTCATGCAGCTACTGTGGCAAAAGAAATTGATTTTTAGGAGCAAAATTTCTAACTTGCTCTGCATTTACCTGAACTACACACATAAGACAATGTTAAGGTAAATGTAAACCCCACAGATACACTTGGTAAATCGGATGACATTATAGTAGCTACATACCATTGACTGTGCCTAACCTGCATGTAAAGTTAGAGGAACATCCGTTGACAAGAGAGGATTTTATCAACAGCACCTCATGCTGTTGATGAAGTACAGCTGGAACATCAAAATAACTCCAAAATGTTTCATTCTCAAAAATGAGCACAAAATTTTTTTAAACATTAACACTGACTGATTTCAAGTGGTTATATTGTTGTACTATCTATCTATCTATCTAGACATTGGCTATGGTCTCTTATTCAATTACACTAATTGAAAAGTTCAAACAAATGTCCACTCACTTCTTTATTTTCTACTTTTTTAAGTTTTATATAATAAGATAAGAAAATCAAATTACTCTAAGAAATTCCAAAAGATTATTTTGGCAGATTGTACTTCACACCATATTTAATTTTTACATTCAATAGTATCAATAACTGCTCTATATTTTGATAAAATAGAAAACATTCAAATGATGGCTGAAGATGAGAGGAGTGTTTTTCAGTTGCTCTGGGGGTTTATATTTAGGAATAACAAAGTAAGAAAAGCTGCATCAAGATTCAGGTCACTTTTAAAAGAAAATATTTGTTAAAAGTTTTGGAAACTGTCTCACGTTTTTTGCAGGCCGTGCAGGGGGGACCAACACTTGTTCCTCCCTGTTCTCTCCTGACACACAGATGACCCCAGACTCACAACATCCATCAGGTGATCATTACAAGTTGGAGGTCGTGACCTGTGTACTCCAATCACCACACCTCTGCACCAACCCGGTGTTGTGCACAGGCCCTCGACTTCCCCTCACACTGGAAAAAAAAAAGTCATCAGCTTCATAATGTTTCCCCTGGCACAAGCTCGTGGATAGAGATATGTAGAGATCCTACGTGACGGCAGGAAGCAGCCACAGGAAATGTAGATGCACTGCGTCTCCTCGAGTGCCACTTCAAGTTATTTATTTAGACAGATTTAACTTTTTTATGGGAATCCCCTTCCTTCCATCGTTTCTCCATTCCCAGATTCCTCGTCTGGGAGTTGGAGGTGGAAGCCTGCCGTGTCATGTAGCTTGTTGAGGCTTCAGAGAGGGATCGCTTCCCCTCGCTTGGACCCCCACCGTATCGCCCTCCTCCACCAAACAAAGACTCATGGATGGAATCCAATTAGTTAATCTCACTCTTGACACACTTGTGCTTGTTTGCAGCACAGATATGCCATTCCTTCACTGATCCTCTCTCATAACAAGTTGTCAGAGGGGAGAGAGGTGGAGAAAGTCAGCGCTGCTCTGAGCGATGCTATTGATTATGAGCATTAAACAGACAGAGAGACATCTGGCTTCCATTACAGACTGTGATGTGATGCAGGACTCCTCGGCTGCAGCAGAGGCTGCACGACCTACAGACACATGCTCCACGGCCTGTAATTACTGCCTATGGAGAAAACTGAGGGATGTTATGTCACTGAACGCCAAAACAGGTTTATTGTGGATTTTCCGCCACTAAAGATCTTCACTGTCAGGTTTTTGTAATCTTTTCAATGAGTTAATCTTATGAAGCAAAACTCTGTGTTGTTGAGTGAGAAAGCAACAAATAGTGATTACTTCCAGCAATTATAGATCTATTGTTTGAAATAATACCAGAGTCATTAAGTTTACCAAAAACTAATGTTTACCAAAAACTAGATGATTAAGCTATTTAAAAGCAATACACTGAGGAAAACCAATATGGATTAAAAAGAGATTAGAAATTAAAACTTCTAAATACTATGGAAAAATGTTAATCAGCAAGTTTAGCAAAACCAATATCAGTTATGTACACATTTTAAATTGCATTACCATCAATAATCAAATTTACTGTAAAATAATTACAAGGGATATTAAATATGTCCATTTCAAAGGGTTCTATGCTGACTGTGATTCCTGTAAAAAATGCTATTTATTTCTTTTTGAAGGAAAAGTTTTTATGCCAGTTATCCCATGTTCAGTCTGTCAATTAGGTTACTATTCTAAAGTTTGAAATAGATTTATTAAAAAGAAAGACACAGATTTATTTCTGTATTAGTCACAGTTGATTCAAGAAAAGATTTTTGTCGTGGCAAAGGAAGGGTTCTATTTAAAATGGAGTTAAAAAAAAAAAAAGTGAGTCTTGTTGTTTTGATTCTTTTATGCATGTTTGAGAAATCCTTGAATCTCCAGACTCTTCTCTGGAGCTGCATCTGCTAGCGGTAGCTGCAAATAGCAAACACCTGCCTATGTTTGGTATATGGACAAATTAACATTTGAGCTGCTGTCACTACTTTTGTTGTGGATGGTCATTGTGTTGTGCTGCAAGGTTTGGTTTTCCCTACGTAACATCATGACTCATCTGCAACTTTTGTGTGCGATGTTGGCAGCCTGAGGCTCACTTTTATTGTTTTGTGCATTTTCATATTTTGAAACTAACGTAACTGTTGTCCACTGGAGGCCCAAATACAGCTGTAAACATTTTAATTTGAGAATATTAAGAAAACTAATCTACACCCAGTTCATGTTGATGAAATCAGCCTGTCTTCAAACTGTTTTGGCAACTAAATAGTTTTTAAGTGCATTTGAATATTTTCCAAACATTTACTAATTATTTTTACGATCCATCAGAGTGATTTTCTTGAACCAGTCCCACTCGAAGCTTCTCACACTCCTGTTCTCTGTGTTTTGCAACACAATTAGTATATCTTTTAAAGACATCTAACCACATAGTAACAGTGACATTGTCGTCTGCTCAAAAAAGTGAAATGCAATTTGCCACATTGTTCTCTTACATCGCAAAGTAATTCCCCCTCAGGACCAGTTACTCAGAACTACCTAAGACTTTTCCTGCTGAATCACTTATCACTGTTGCAAGAAGATGGAGATTATTGATTTAACTGGTCTAAACATCAACAATGAATGATTCAAGACCCCCCACCTTCGGATGCCAAAGTTTGTATATTTTACTTGACAAGTGGTAGAGAAGGGGGAAAAAATGGATTTATTTATCCTTTTTGAGAAAGATGCAAGTTTCTGGCTGCACAGCCGCATTGTTTTATTGCAATGACAACAAGACAAAGAGCTGTCGTGACTTTAATGTCCTTGTTTGGGGCTGCGGGGGCGCGTTGATGAGGTGGGAGTGGGTTGTGTCGTGGTAGTGAGAAACACTAACACCACTAAATCACCTTATAAGTTAAACACACACAAATAGACATATGTTATGACTGAGAGGGTGGAAGATAAGTTTGTGTTTCAGTGGACAAATGTGTTCCTGAGAGGCCCCGATTTAAGATGATAGCCTGCGTTTAACATGAACATTTATCAAGGAGTTTACTTTTATATTATATTCTATTTGTCTTACTTTTATGTCTTTTCCACATCAAAAGTTTATTTGCCATTTCAGCTCTTCTAAGCAACAACTTGCAAAACGTGTCATAACCTTTGGATTTTCTTCAGATTTTGACACGTTACCGATAACTCCAAATATTTGCACTGAGGTTACAAAGACCAACACAAGTAGTTCATAACTGTGAAGAAACTGATAAATATCTGAAAAGTGTGTCATTTGTATGTTAAATCCCTATAAAACATGAAGTTTTTCATTGTAAGATGACAAAATGTGAAAAAGTTCAAGGGATATGAATACTCCTGCCAGGCAAAAAAGTTATTACAAGAGCAATGGCGTGCTTGCGTGAGTGTGTAAGTGTTCTCTCTGCACACGCTCTGTAGGATGACAGACAATAAAGTCAGGCTGCAAAGCAATAACTTACTAATGCACTCCTCGGTTGGAGCTCCCTGGACTTGTCTGCAGCTGCTGATGGATGCTGACGGCTCCAGAGATGGACTGTTGCTGATAGGGAGTGACCGGAGAAGAGCCTGATTAAAAGTAGAGGGGCACAGGCGGAGGGCGATAACCCTGATCTGTCAGTGATGAATCCATCCTGGACAGGCTGCTGTCTCATTAGGGTCTAACCTCAGGCAGGCACTGTGTGTCCAAATAAACGCTGGAGCGATCCTGCTTTTATCAGCAGGATTATGCTTGTTTTCCTTTCCACAACTTTCCTTGTGTGGGCCCATACACAGCATGCTCCCCCCCAACCTTCTCTGTCGGCCTCTGCAAACCGAAGGTGTGATTCACTGCCCCTGACTACACTGTGTTTACACAATCCTGGGTCTATCTTTTTGGATTAATGAGCCCAGCAGCACCATTAGACAACTATTTGCCTGACTAATCTGGGGCCAGCATGAAATAGCGAGAAAAAGTTGAAATAATCTGCCCCTTTATTTGCGATAACATAAACAGTGGAGCTGTTTTAAAGCATGCTAACATTGAATATTGGGTCAGGGGAGGGGGACAGAAAGAGGTAGTTTACATTCTCACTGGAGTAGTCTTGATAACAGGCCAGAGGGAATATAAGCCCCTTTAAATGTGTGCATTAGTGTAATTTATTGGGCTTCCCCTTTCAGCCCTGCTCTTGCTCCAGCTCCTTTTTTTATAAACAAAAGACAGGCCAAAGTTCCAGAATGGATGGGAGAGAAAAATCATTCATAGTTGATAATCACATAAAACAACAGCGTATTTGCTGCCTAATAAGCAGAAAATGTTCCATTTGGCCTCCTCCCTTAAATCAGGATTGGGTGACTCCTCCAAGAGGACCCAACGTGATTTAAACCCCCGTTTTGAGAAAGCTTTGGTTTTGGAGTGGGTACTATGAGATCCAGGGAGTGTTGGGTTAAGGCCAGGGATTTCATAACTCTTGGTCTACGTCTGGAAGTCGTCCACTCATTCTGATTTTTAACCAAGTTATGTCCAAGCAGAATGACCCTGGGAATTAATGAGGTTCTGGTTGTTGGTTCCAGCGCTGCGAGGTCAAGTAAATTATGCTTTAGGGCTCCGGTCCTCCCTTCGCTGCTTCTTCGCTCTTCCCAACTCTGCATCCTGTGATAACGGCAAGACAAGATGGCCTGAGAAATACCAGCTCATCGTCACTCGTGTCCATATTTCAGGACAGAAGTGCCAACCAGCCGGAAAATCAGCTTTTAGTGAAGACTGGAAGCTGATGAGTTGGAGCAGAGGCTCTTGGAAGATTGCTGGCGCAGTTTTTCACTTTTCATGTCACATTCTCCATTCTTTTTCTCACTCAAATTTCTGTTGTTTTATTCACTTTTATCAGACAGATTAACTTTTCCATATTTTCCACTCTTTGCAGGAACTTGGCATTCAGCTCCATTGAGTAGTATTTTCAAAATCGAAGTCATTTTACTTTTTAAAGCATTTTAATATGTCTCTACTTGATTTAGCAGAGCCACTTTCCTTTGAATAAAATGTGCCATGGAGGACATTAACACAGGGGAAAAGCTGACTTCATTTGACATAATACCGTGAAACCTAATAGAGTAACACCTCAGTAACGAGCGTTGCAAATCAGTCATCTCTTTTAACGCAGAAAAATAATTTGTCTTTTCATTTAGTAGCTGTTAAAATGCCATAATTTTTACACATGTGTTTAGTGTTTCATTTTTAGGAGGGAAAAGGGTGACAACATTTTCAAACATGCATGAAACTGGAGCACAGCTCAGCGCTCATGGAACACAGCGGAGAAAGGCTGCCAAGTCTTGCTCGGCTGTGTTTTCTGTCCTACTGTTAGCAACAGGCGGCATTTATCACCTAATTAATTCCCCTGTCTGTGTAAAAGAAAAAAAGAAAAAAAAAGAGATTTTCCTTTTGCTCATACAGCCTGATTTCTTTTTCTTTAATTAGGCTGTTTACTGATGTGCTGATCTAAATGCAAACTTGACGAGATGCCTTCTGCATCTTTTCTGCATCCTGTATCCAACAGGATAGTGTGTTTGTGGCTGGGATCGCCGTTTAATGCAATTTTACCCTCATGAACTCAAAAGTGAAAAGAAATGACGATAAATGTTGTTGTTACTTGTAGATGTAATGGGGTATTGGTCAATTCAAAGATCGGGAAATGCTGCAAGAAAAATCTGATTTGAAAAGATAACTATGACTCTGCCTCTGAGTAAGATACTTTACTCTCAACTAGTGTTGGGTTGAAAAACATATAATAATTTAAGCTTTTCAAATCAGTTGACCTTTTTATGTTTTATTTATAATTTCCTCTCAAGCTGTTGTACCTATTTCCCCCTTAAATTTTCCCCTTTTGAGGCACAGTGGAGAAACCTGAAACTGCTGTTGGGCAAGTTACTTAGCTTAGCCAGTAGTGAAAGGTTGAGCAGATAAAGTCTTTCCTCTGCCGAAATCACCCAAAATGCTGTGCGGTTGTGAATCAGAGTTAAGTGAAATTATTGAACATTTTATTGGATGTATCTATTACAATGTAATATTACTATTGATTTATTGCCCAGCTCTACTCTAAACTGACTTGTGGTTTTACCACTAAAGCTTTTCCAAAAAAAAAACAAAAAAAACATTCTTTATATTTTACGTTTGATTTTGTATGGAGTCTGCTTTCACCTTACTTAACCAAACAGGCCTAATTAATAGTCAATACAGACGCTTGCAACATAAACACTGCCTAAAGCAGTATCACTTCCCTTCCCTGACAAACAATCTCAACAGTTAAACAAATAAATGTAACTTATTTACTTTGTAACACAGAGTTAGACTGTGTAGTGCTTTACACACTCTGAATTTTTTTTATATTCTGTCCCATTATAACCACAAACTTCAGTGGTTGTAATTCACAATAAAAAAAAACTAAAATCTATATTTTCATCGTTTGACTGCTGAAAAAAATGCCAGAAGTCATATTTCCTACAGGGTTTCTTAAACGGTTCTTCATTTGACATCCGGTATCGCCTAAATACCTGAATCAAACTTTATTTGTTTTTGTTCCAAAGCCTTGTAAAAGATAAGACTGATGACATAATATAAATTAAATCTTAAAAGCTCCAGAAAAATCTCACACAAAGTCAAAGACGATGTTTTACAATTATTTTCAAAGGCAAAGAAGTCCTCCTTGTGTCAAGAACATTAAAAATCAGGTGTAAATTCAGTGGCACTTTAAGTTTATCATGAGAATCACTGATACAGTTTCAGACGGAGAAAGAAAACTCCCATCTTGACCATTTTAGAGGCAAAGTTTACACACAAATTCTTTTCTCTGCCTATTTCTTCACCTTTGTTTATAGGATTATTCTTCCAGTAACTGTTAACCTAATATATAAATTAGACCAGGGCGAGAACTCAGAATAAATCTGACCTGTCTGCGATTATGGCCTTTGCATACTTGAGGGTCCGCTAAAACAAACGAAGCACTGATGTCAGAAGTCCGAGCTGAGGAGAAACAGCCTCCACACTCTTGGCTGATGGTTCCAGACAAGCACCTTGATGGGTGTAATTACTGTCATGTCCCAGAAGAGATGAGAGACACCAGAGGTCCAAATAAAACCTAAAACGGTTTTGATATGATGGATTTCTCTCGCTAATGTTTAAAAATTCCTCGAGCTGTCTGTCTGCAGTCTGGAAGATGCATTCAACTCTTCGGCCTTTGTATCGGCAAGCAAAACTTGAAAACGGCTTAAATCAAGATTCAAAGTTTGCAAGAGGCCACAACAGCTGCCTGTTTGATTCTTCAGCTAGAACACAGACTGGTTTCAGTAAATGTCAGCTATGTGTTTACATTCTGCCTAATGCACTCAGATGACACTGAATCTAAACACATTCACACAGAGACTCTCTGCTGCTTCGCTTTACTGGCACAAATAGGTTCATCTTTATGAGGTCAGCTGTCTGTATGAAGGAGTTTCTCACTGGTTAGCATATATAAGCACTCACTGAATGAGACAACACAGATCTGGATTATGTTCAGTTTTAGTGGAAGGAATTTTTATTGTTTAAGTGTTTAACTGTGGCGGTTTGAGGGAAAAGCGTGGAAAAAGTAAAAGTACACCGGGATCCAGGGGCAAAGCTAATCTTGAATTGGGTGAATGTGTTTAATTAAGAAATTTAAATACACTGTGGGGAAAAAAAAATAAGTAAAGTTGAAAATATCTGTGCGTCTGCAACAAGAATTGTAATCTGTCAAAATGACAGTTGGCCTTCAGATTTTTCATCACCATCTGCAATAACCCTTTAATTAAATTCATATCCCATTGGAATCAATAAAGTATTTTGGAACTGAATTGAATTGATACAAAACTGTACAATCTGCAGAAGAAAAAAATTAGCAATTTTACAACATTGTCAATAATATAAATTTCAATTATCCTGAGACTTACCCTGGAGAGACATTATGAACCACAGTGAGGAAATTCAAAGTATTTCCTCACGTTGGAAATATACATTGTGTTTTGTGTAAAACTAATTAGCTAACCAACAAAAAGTGTAATCGGAGGTACCAATGCTGATAGCCTTTGAGAATGAAACTATCTTGCAGGCAACAATCGGAAAGGTTTATTGAAAGTACAAGGAAGGAAAAAGTGGCTGGCAGAACCTTGGTGAATGTCTCTCTAATCCTTTTAAACCTTGCTTTTACATTAAACACACGTTTTTAAAAAGCATAAATACCATAAAGAGAAAAGACTGAAATGAGTTCTCACCACAGTTTCCCCTCTTTAGCAGCTCTGTTGCTGCAATAACACAAAAGTGTCAAAACATGACAGCACTAAAAAGAAAGGGCAAAACTCTATTTTCAGCTTGTCAAAGCTTGTTGAACTGTAAAACAATTACAAAATGTCAGAAACACATCTGGCATAAGTGTTGTAGTGAAAGTGACGCGCACAATCTCTGGAATACCAGATGGATAAGGCAGATAATCAACTCATCATAACTTAAAAAGAGCAAAGAGAGGAGTCCCATCAGCCTTGTTTAAACCACAGGTATGATTTATGGAGCAGGAGCTGGTTGGCTGCATAAAATTAATAATAGGAAATGCAAAACTAGTCGACTGACTTGTCCAAAATACACTTTCTCTGGCTT